TATCTCTTCTCTATCTCTATATCTCTCTCTCTCTCTCTCTCTCTCTCTCTCTCTCTCTCTCTCTCTCTCTCTCTCTCTCTCTCTCTCTCTCTCTCTCTCTGCCTGCCTGCCTGCCTGCCTGCCTGCCTGCCTGCCTGCAACGCCTCCGTTGAACTCCTTTGTTTACTTCTGTTACATAATGACAACACTGTGTAACACTTGCGCTTCTATTGGCCAGTGCTAGTGATAGGCTAAAGGGCGGGACATCTCTTAGTGTTTGACCAATCACAACAGAGCCAGCTAACCAATCAGAGCAGACTGGGCTCTGGTTTCAGACAGAGGGTGAAAAGAGGTGCTGCAGCACAGGCAGTATGAGAAAAATAAAGAGCTTTTTGAACATTAAAGCATGGAGACATGTCACAGTAGAGGCACAACTGACGCTGTGTACAAGAAGGGGATGAGCAGACTCTATTTTCTGAGGAAGCTGAGATCCTTCCACGTGTGCAGCAAGATGCTGGAGATCTTCTACCGGTCTGTTGTGGCTAGTGCACTCTTCTTTGCTGCGGTCTGCTGAGGGGGCAGCATCAGAGCCGGTGACACCAGCAGGATCAATAAACTGATCAGGAAAGCTGGGTCTGTCATCGGCATCAAGCTGGACCCCTTTGAAGCTGTGGTGGAGAGGAGGACACTGAACAGGCTGTTGTCCATCATGGATAACCCCAGCCATCCTCTCCACCTGCAGCTGGACAGTCAACGGAGCTCCTTCTCCAACAGACTGCTGCAGCTCCCCTGTCACAAGGACAGATACTGGAAAACATTCCTGCCCACTGCAATAACACTGTACAACAAATCACCTCTGGCTGGAAGAGAACTCTCTGCTCCATAGTTTCTCTTGGAATAAAACCACATTGTACATTTTACTCTATAATCTGTTTTTTTATATTGATATTCCATGTCATATATTTATGTATATATATATATTTGTATATATAATATCTTGTCAAATTCAACATGTATATTTTCTATTTTCTTTTCTTGTTTCTTTTGTTTTATTGTAAAACGCCTTGTCTTTTATGCTGCTGCAACAAAAACAATTTCCCAAATTGGGATCAATAAAGTACTTCTTATCTTAATACAAATCTTACTGTTTATGGTTATTCTACATTTTTTGCAAAAAACACTTTGAGAAGCACATGAGAAGACTGTGCATATACTTTTTTATTTGCCTTCTACGGCCTAGATTCCCGTCTCATTTTAGTTGCTTGATTTGCTTGAGGGGTGTTGCAGGCAGTGGCGTCGCCTGGCCTGGGCATCCGGGGCTTTAGCCCCGAATGTTTTTTCTGTAGCCCCGGACAATTCTCCCTCAATAATATAATACATTAACCGTGCTTTACGTGAACCTCATCATGACACAAGAGAGGACGGCAGCACTGTAATTTCCCGTGTTCAGTGAATGCAACAGAGGCATGACACCAGACCAATCAGAGAGTTGCATGGAAATAACGTGTGCGTGTGTCATTCAAGCTCGGCTCTGTGTGTGTGTGTGGCAATAGCGCATTTAGTGTGATAGAGAGAGAGAGGGAGAGAGGGGGAGAGAGGGACCGGTGCCCGGTGCCCGGTGTCAGCAGGGACCGTGTTGTTAGCATCTGGTTAGCTAGCTGCACTAACGGACATAAGGAGCTGTTTGTTCCACAAGAAGCTGGAGGAGAGTCCTCTCCTCTCAGACTAATGCCCCTTTCACACCAACGCAACTCCGGTTCAAGCTCCGTGCTAGAGCTTTTCTGGTTCAGAACCGGTTCTTCGGTTTAGCGCCGGCTCTTTTCACACCGCTCAGAGCCCGACTGGTGCTGCCGCTGCTGCGTCATGACGTCACAGTTTACGTCGCTGAGTTTTCTCCCCAACGCCGGAGCTCACCTCACAATAACACGGGCCGGGGACTGCGTTGCTTTTAATCATACGAAGCCAGATTAAATTAAATAACGACTTCTCCAACCTTATACTTTTCTCCAGAGTGCCGTGGTTCATTGTTTATTAATGTGTTTCAGCGGCATTTACCGACCGCTGCAGTGCCTGGCCGGCTGCTCTTCCACGAGTGTATTCTCCCGTTAGCTCCGGGTTAGCTCACACGGCTCTAAAGTATTCACTGTCTGACTGTCACACAAGCAGCTGATACATATCCCCAGTTCCCCTTAAGTGAATGTGTGTCAGTCTGAATTGACGCTGTTTGGTTGTCAGTCTGAATTGACGCTGTTTTGGCATCACAACGCTGTTATGAAAGTTTCTCTGGTATAACATGGGTGATGTTAGCATAGCAACCGAAGCTAAACTGACTACTTGCTAAGCAGTTTTCTACAGGCACTTTTTACCGACGTATTTTTCATTATGATTCTACTTGTGATAGTCGGACATGACAACCTGTGCAGCCCATGTATTGATTCCATCCGATAGCTGCTATAATAACAAACAAAACGTCTGCCTGCTCTCCACAATGATCAATAACAGCGAACGGATGGTCAAAGTAAGGCACAAATAAACAGAATCACACGAAGCCTGGTTAGTGTTGCCTGACTTTATAAAGTGTGTTTTTTTTAACAAGTGTGTGGTTGCGTTCTAGTCACTTTGCTCAGCACTACTGCTTGTTACAACTTTTATTTGCCGTACTCGCCTTAAGTGTTAGCTCAGGTTAATCTCGCCCCCCTCCGACGTAAGCGTGACGTATGCGGTTCTTGCTTCTAGACGGACAACTTTTTGGTGCTCGAAACGAACCGGATTCCGGAGCTTAGAGGCTGCTCCGCTGCGGTGTGAACAGGAAACCCGGTGCTTTTCAAGCACCCAGCACCGAACCGGCCCCTGAAACCACCGTTGGTGTGAAAGGGGTATGAGAGACTCAGGTGAGCTAAAGGACTCTGAGTATTTAGATACTTAACTTTAGTCTAAGTTATCTCAGTGGGTCTCAAACGGTTTGGTCACAAATTATTCAAAAGATTGTTTCCGCGGCACACCTTCATATGATCATTATAGTTATAAAAAAAATAAGAGAATAAAAGGAAAAACAGTTATGAAATACTATATGGCAGTAAAACAAGAATAGAGTTTAAAAGGGGAGTGATTAGTAAAGTATCCATAAAGAAAAAGTAAATCTGTTTACAGTTCTGCTTCATATGGGTGTTGAGAGAGGTATCCATAGATCTCTTCATTTTGCTCTCAAAGTGCACCAGATTGATGCATTTAACTTCAATATTTAAAAAAAAATCTTCCCGGGGGAGCATCCCCCCGGACCCCCCCCTAGAGGAGGTGAGGTCCGCCCCCCACTCATAACAAATACCACTTTACCCCTGCCTATATGCCGTGAGCCGTAACAGTCGCGGGTGTACTGTGTGTGTGCGTGTGGGGAGTGTTGCAGTAAAAAATGCCACTGTAGTGCCGCCGCCACTGTGGGCTAAGCCCCGAATGTTTTCAGGTCCAGGCGACGCCCCTGGTTGCAGGTAGTCTAAAATTCAAGATCTTATTTCCCTTTCATGGGAAAAAACAAGTAAGAAATCAAAACAAACAAAGCAACAAAATGTGACTTTCATTCAAATTATTCATTTGTCTGAACAGCAACAATACTTTTCATAACAGAGAGACAAAGACACAAATCTTGCATTTGTATTTACTCGTTTTATAAATGTAATTACTTCCACAGCTCTACATCTGCTGGGAGAGTGGTTTTAGAAAACAGGAGCAGAGGAGACGAGTCAGGACAGATACTGATTAACAGATCAACAACAGTCTCTCGGGCATATTTGTTTTTTTGTATTTTCATATATGTTATTTATATCCTCCCCAGACGAGAAAGGGCAACATTCCAGGTAGGGAAACGTTCCTATCAGGAAGCTAAGCTTCCTATCAGGAAGCTAAGCTTCAATAGTCATGTGCATGTTCATTGTGTAAACTTGTCCTGGAGCAAAGGGCTCTAACACAGAAGCAGCTCAGAACAAAGTGACCTGCTGCAAGCCCGGGCTGGATTTCAAAGTCCACACAGAAAGCAGGGACACGGATCAATACTTGTAAAATATTCATTATTGGGATGAAGTCCTGAACAAAACATGTTTGCTTTATATGCTTAGGAGTTATTTGATGAGTACAGTGAGAGTCTTGTTAAAGGGGCCCTATCATGCTCATTTTCAGGATCCTATTTGTATTTTGTGACTCTGCTCCGACATGTCTCCGTGCTTTAAAGGTCCCATGTCATGCTTTTCCGGTTATTACCCGTCCCCTTGTGTGTTATGAAGGTTTTTATGCCTTTCACCGGAGGATGGTCTGGTAGTTCCTCGATTATTGCTCCTCCGTTATCGCTCCTCGATCCTCCGGCACAAATAAGGCCACTGGGATGGTACTCAAGATGGCGCAGACAAATCAACTTCCGGTGATACCGAGACCGAGGAAATGAAAAATAAGAGAAGTGAAACGCACCCTGTAATGTCGACACCAGAATGGAAGCCAGCTGCTTCACTAATGGGAGTACAGCAAAGAGTTGGTAAACAATGACACCACAGAAGAAGCATGGTGTCAGTCCCAAACAGACTGCCACAGTGATGAAGATTAACTTTGATTTGATCTTCTTTATTAAACTATGAAGGTGGTATCTGACAGTCCTAGATTTGGTTTATTTAGATTTGTGTATTGTAATGGTTCAGTTTAGTTTATCTTGACTTTTCAAATTCCTTTTTGTCATGTAACATCGGGGGACTAAACTGTGTATGAAACATGAGCACTTTAACAACCAAATTGAGTATCTATACTATACAAATACTGAATGTTAACATCAGATTTCTGGTCAGATT